CAGTCAGGGCAATTTACACTACAGCATGTTTTTTTTTTTCCCTTTCTACATGCTTTGCTATGGCTGTAGAGAAAGAATTTGAGAATACAACAGACCATAAAAAAGACCAAACTGAGAACCACAGGAAAATGTAATCGCATATTTCAAAAAAACCCATGATCAAACCAATTGACCAGGTAGTGCAATATACTTGTTTGCTTTACTGTACAGTGATAAATATAGTCTACACAATTCTATATGTGAAGTTAGTCATTTCACTTATCCCAGAGAACTACAGTGCACACTTTTTAAAAAATCTTTCTTTATGGTGGGAATCAAGTTCTACAATCAGAGAAGAATTAGAAATGTGTTGTTTCTTTTCCTCTATCAGCCCAAGATGAGGAGAGGGGGAAAATGCATGAAAGCAACAATTCAGACTTTTTTTTTTAAAAAAGTGATGAGAATCATACTACAACTGCTCTCAACTTCTGTCACTTCAGATGTATCAGAAACAAAATCAATTCAGTTCAATGTTTGCTATGGGTGCTATTAAAAAACAAAATTTAGATTTCAACAGCAATTTCTAAATGTTGTAAGTTTCTGCCTTAAACAATTGACTCAACCTGCTCAATATGATAAAACAAGCCTAAGGGTATGCCAATACAAACTGCCCTTACATTTAAATACTTTAAACCAACATCCTTGCCATATCAGGCTCTGATGCTATTAAATAATCATGCTTAAATTACAGCAGCAGGAACAGGGCACCTAGCTTCCTTTGAATGCATCACAACAATCATTTGTTCTAAATATACAGAAAGTCATGAAGTGATAGTAAACTAGCTTTTAAATCAACTGGTACTTTTCAGCGTGAGGATGAGTAGAAGGGGAGAGAAATTAGAAATCTGACTTTTTAGGTGATCAGTGGATAGATTCCGTATAGTTTCCTTACTAGATCAATTATACTGGTACTAATATGATCATCTAGCAGCAGGCACATACTTTGGTAATTGTACAGTAGGTAGCTGTGAGGTAGCTACTCCATAGCAGGATTTTTTTTTCCTGAAATTGTCATGTTTATGTCATAAAATATGGTAACATACTTCTCCTGCAAGAAGGTATAAATAGGAACTTTCCAAATAAGCAAGTTGCAGCAATATCACCATTTTGTGTATGTGTCTCAACTTCAAAGGACCACTAGGTGCAACCTCTGCCAACGCTTGTGAATGTTTTATCCAAAACCCAAATCGTAACACGCAGTTAAATGTTTATATTAAGTAAACTTATCAATTCTCAGGTCCACAAGTCCTAATTATTGTGCATCATCTAATCATGTTGGAAAAATACTATAACAGAAACGTAGTGCAAATCTTACTGATTTAGATCTAGTACCTTTGTTTGGATTGAAATAACTGAAGTACTACATTGAGATGTTACAGATCTAAATCTGACAACTATTTGAATTAAGAAAATTTACTTCAGTAATGAGAACAAAAATCAAGTGAAACTTAACTTGCCATTAATAGATGTAAACCATGTATGATTTTCTATATTACTGAACAAATGATTAGCAGTCTCTGATCACCACAAATACTTCTCCACGTGTATGAAGAAGTGTCTCCCATTCTGAATCAGCAGGTCATCTTTGCCATTCCAAGCTCCAAGTTCACTAACGTAGGCTCAGTTTTAGAGAAAGTAGCTTTGAGTTCTTTGCATTCATCTCCAGAAATGTTCCCATCTTCCAGTGTTCTAATCGAGTTGCTTTCCACAGTTGTTTGCTGTTCTTCTTTACACACAGTCTCAGATGCCTTGAGCATCCGCGATAATTGGCTAACTGGATGAAAAGGTTCCCTACTGTAGACCGCACATGGTTTTTGACCCAGTTTTATTATTTGCTGTAACAGAAAGACAATGTTAACCACAATTAATCCTAAGTTAACCAGGAAGTATTATGACTAAGCCAAAGAGTAAGGTTATAGTTTACATTAAGGTATAAAGTAATTAGCATTTAACAGAATTCCAACTCCCCAGGTTCACCTTGGAATGTCTAAAAATTGAAATTTAATCTGGAGTCTGGAGACTGCTGCAAGAAACCTGGGAGTTAAAACTTTTTTTGAAGAGCATTAAAAGAGTGCACTGTTGCTTTAATTAATTTTAATTGAACAGCATTATTTATTTGCTTTAAAAATGTTGGAGATGGAATGTAAAGGCTGTTTGACTGGGCAGGAGAATCATCAGATGAAACACCCAGGAATATATCTAACTTACTTGTCACCCCGACATGTAGATCTATAAATCAATACATGCTTGTGTGTTTTCACTCTTCAACAAACTTACAAAATATACACCTCATCATAACTCATTGGGGTAGAATGCTGGAAATCAAGCCCCATTAGCCCCGGAATAGTCAAAAATATAAAGCGATTTTGTCAACATTATCAAACTCCACAAATGACCTGGCTGACAACTCCGGCTAATATTTAACTAGAAAGAAACTGTTTATTGCAAACAAATTGTCCTCAACCAACAGCAATTAGGAAATATGAATTACTACTCGACAACTCAGACGCTATCCCTTCTTAAATTTTAGACCATCGTAAACAGACACAAGACATAGACATTAAAGTGGAAAAATAAAATAAAAATCAAGGAAACTGTTCAATTGCACCAGCCTGGACTACAGGATTCAATTAGTTATTTCTTCCAGTTTCTTTCAATTTCTCTTGTCTATGCAGTTGATGCAAGGTTCTTTCCATATTGATGCTTTCTTTCATTCACTGTTTGAGAATTCACCTTTTCACTGCTTTTGAAGGCATTTTACTCCTTCTCAAATTGAGGATTAGCAGAGAATAGTGAGTGGGATACAACAAACAACTACTACTGGAAAATTTCCAGTACCTCCACACAAGGGAGAGACACCAAAATGTTCTGAACTCTCTTTTGTACACCAGATAGTTCTCTGCTACACTGTCCTGGTCAGGAGCCAGTTAGAATGTTATCGACGAGCAGTTTACCCTTAGGACAGAACCTGTTGGCTTCCTAGTGTCTGATTTTGCCCTCACTGTTCCAGGAAAATAGTGTATTGTATTTACAATACACAATGTGTTCCAGTAAACATGATTTTTAAAATGTAGTTCTCTCTTTGCAGTCTTCTTGATTTAAAGCAGTATGTTCTTATCAGTCCAAAACTAAAAGGAAATAAGATGACGTGTCCTTTATAGTATTGTGTATTTTAGTTATGTTGAATAAGTGATTACAAGATCTGTATTAATTTATTTATTCCTAGATTATTGCCAATGATTAACTTCAGACAACTGGCATGAGGTCAAGATGATTCAACTTTAAGATATTAGCCTCTGCTGCCCCAAGGCTACAACGTGATTTAAACAAACCTTGTGCACAATCATTAATACAGCCATTACCCAGCATTTTATGGCACATTACACCAATACCTGAACCATCTTTACGCAACTGTTTTGAGTGAAAAAGTCTTGAACTTATAGAACATAGGACAGTACAGCACAGTACAGGCCCTTCGGCCCACGATGTTGTGCCAAGCTTTTACCCTAATCCTAAGGTCTATTTAACCTCCACCCCTACCTTATACTATCATCCATATATGGTGTCATTTATGACCAAATGGACATCCCAAAGTTCTTTACAGCCAATGAACGACTTTCTGAAATGTAGGAACAAAAACAGAAGTTGTTGGAAAAGCTCAGCAGGTCCGGCAGCATCTCCAAAGGAAAAAAATCAGAGTTAACGTTTTGGGTCCTCAGAGCTCAGGCCCTTCTGAGGAAGGGTCACCAGACCCGAAACGTTAACTCTGATTTTTTTCTTCAGAGATGCTGCCAGACCTGCTGAGCTGTTCCAGCAACTTCTGTTTTTGTTCCTGGTTTACAGCATCCACAGTTGTTTTGGTTTTTCTGAAGTGTAGTACTGTTATAATAGAGAAAATATGGTAGCCAATTTGTACATAGCAAGCTCCCACAAACAGTAACGTGATAGTTGACAATTGTCTCTAAAGTTGATTGAAGGAAGAGTAACTGGCAAAGACATCAGGAATATCTCTTTGCCTTTAAGTACCATAGGATCTTTCCATAGATGGCAGACAGGCCTCTGTTTAAATGTCTCATCTGAAAGACAGTATCCCTAACAGACCAGCATTCCAACAGTTAAGCAGCAGAGAGCCAGACGAGATGACTGTGTTAAGTCCTGGAACAGGTTTTGAACTTATAGCTTTCTGGCACAGGCAAATGTACTACCAAATGAGCCATGGCTGACTCAAAAATTGCAAATTTAGTCTAAGTTGCAAAGTGAGCTAAGCCAGTACTATGAAAAGCACTGCATGGGACAATATACTGTAGTGAATTTCAAATCTATTTCATACAGTTAATATTCAACTCACCTCCTCCAGTTTTTTGGCTTCCATCTCCAGTTGATTATTCTGCTCAATGAAGGTCAAAATTCGGCTGAGTTGTGATTGCCTGGGATGTATTGTTATATCAAACTGATGATACATACAGCGCCAAAATCTAAAGTCAAAATCAAAAGAATTGGAAATTAGGGAAAATAAACTGCACATATGATAGAGAATTTTAAGAATAATTTAAACTTACTTGAAATTGAAAGAGACAGTGTTTGGCTCAAGCACTTCATGAGCACAGGGAAGATTACAGTCGTAGAGTGGGTTCAAATACTTGTGTTGATTTTCCAAAAGAAATGACCACAAGGAATGGGTTTTTTGTTGAATTCTGTGAAAAGTAGTTTTTAAGCAAAAACATTGCTTTTGCAAGAACGCTTGCATTAAAAGAGTTTCATACTAATAGATGGTCATTTACTTTCTCAAATTGAAAATTTCATAATTATTAACATCAATTTGCTGTGATATGAAACAACCCGTATAACTCTCGAGCTCCTGAAGATAGAGAATCTATTTTTAGAATTCATCTTTTACTTTAACAAATTTACCATACCAGTGCATAATAATTCTTACTTCATTGCCTCCCTTTCTTTTTGGCAGTTTCCAATGAAGTTTCCAAACTGGCAGGAATGGACATGCTCGTGAATCTCAAGTAAGTAAGTTTCACTGTACTCAAAAACACGAGGAAACTGTTCAGTCAGATGCCAAACACATTCAATGAACTGCGTAAATACAGGAGATATTTCTTTGGGGTCTCCATCAAGCTGGCCACATCTATATGATAGAAAAGGTGAGAAAGAAAGCAACATTAAAATAAATTTTTCAAATATAAATTATTTTGGATGCTCTTATTTCCTCATCAAGAAAGTAAACTAGTACTCTGGTCCAAGGACCTCTTAGGATGAGGTAGGGTAAAGCATCTTTTTCTGCTCTATATGTTGAAACTTGGGAAATAATTAGACTTTTTCCACTTTGCCTGCCTTCCCCAGGAGGTACTATGCTCTTGCTACGCCTGACAGACCGAAGAGACCAGGACCACATCATTTCAGGAACTTCAGATGCAAATCCACAACACATTACTATAAACCAAGTGCACCAAGTATGTCTCTTTCTCTCTCACACATGTTCTCTCAGTGTTAGTCTGACATAGCTTAACACAATATCTGCTCTATTCTGTATATAAATATCAAATAAAACAAAGCACACAATTATTCAGACAGTAACATACACTGCCCAAAGATGTACTAGTTTGGGACATTTAGCATGGCCAATCCACCTGTGTCCAGGGTTGTGCAGGCTAGGTAAGTTAGCTATGATAAATGTAAGGTTACGGGAATAAGGGGGAGGGCTGGATCAGGGTAGGATGCTCTTTGGAGGATCAGTGCAGGGTCAAATGGGCCGAACGGTTCTGTCTGCACCATACGGATTCTATGATTAGTAAAACAATATAAAAGGAAACATTGAATTTAAAAAGGCTGAATGAACATTACCGAAATAGAAGCCAACTAGGTTTTAGTAAATTGAATAAACTTGGCTGTTTTGGATATTTTTACCTATTCCTGCATAGAACACTGATGCATTCTAAAGAAAGCAAACGATAAAAACAATGGTGATTTATGGAGAGAGAAATAAAGTTAATGCTAAAACAAACATAGAACTTCCTCCTCAGTGTTATACAATTCCAGGTTTTAGGTTCCACTCCACGGCTTGAGTCTCATAATCCCTGCTGGTGGGACCATCTTTTGGATCAGATATTAAACCAAAGTATCATCTGCCTGTTTGGATCAATTTAAAAACCTCTTGGTCGTACCATTTCAGAAATGGTGCTGGAAGTTTTCTCCAGTGTCTTGGTCAATAGCAATCAATCAACATCACAGAAAATAGATCACAGGGTAGCTGCATTGCACAAGTTGGCTGCCACGTTTCCTACATTACAACAGTTCAAAAATTATTTAATTGACTGTAAAGTGCTTTGAGACGATTGGTAGTTGAAAAATAGTACAAAAATGCAAGTCTGTTTTCTTTCAAGCATCTATTTTAGTTAATAAAAAATGTAATTTCCTCCAAATTCTATTCACATTACCTCTCAGCAAACTTGTGTCCAAATGTGATCCAGTCTTTTTCTATCAAAACCTTACAATAGAAAAGAATTAGTTAGAAGGAAATAATTTTTGAAAACTCATTAGTACAATCATCAGTTTGGTGTTTGACAGGACAACATTTAAAACAATAACTTACTCAATTAGGGCAGGATTTGTGCTTTTTTTTTGTCAAGTGTCATATAACTGCCTGATATTAGATTGTCGCATGGAGAAATCATTGATTTAGCAGCTTCAAACAAAAATGTTAAACACGGAGATGAATTAAGTTTAATTAATCCAAGTCACTCTCAAACAAGGTTTTATCAGCAAGGCATAATATGACATTTATGAAGAGTTATGATATTCAAATTACTCTACTACACTAATAACATTTTCACTTACATATACATTACCTTAATGGTGTGTCTGGTGTCATACTTGCCTACAAGTCTGTTTGGCCTTCATTTGGGATCCAAATCCTATCTGTTTAGAGTCATTGAGCATAATTTTATGGTCCCTCACCAGCTGTTTGCAGACAGGTGGGGAGCAACAATTCTCTGGATGGCCTTACCACTTCAACCTGTATGCAATTTTACAGGGGGGCAGGGAGAGCGTAGGATGCCCTGCTCTTGCATCAATTCAGCCCCTTAAGTGGGACATTAATGATCATTTAAGGGTCATTGCCTACTTGGCCTTAGTTTTGAGGCTGATGGGAGCAGTTCAAAGGCAGGGACCAGCTAGTCAGCTTGCTGAGGCCTTGAGCAAGGAGAAAACCACCTCTTTTCCACAGCAGAATTGTGCACCCAAAGTCTTTTCCCCCATGGATGTGCCCTATTCAGAACACAAAAGCAAGCCATTCATTTTTGGTAGAGTTCATGCTGCTAAATTATTACACAGTTTCATTTAAAGTATTGACAATAAGTATTAATAAGAATACGTCACCTCTGTACTGAGGCAATTCTGGAATGTAGGAATGCAGGAAGAAACAAAATATGTATTGTTTACATTTCTGTCAACTACTGACTCAACTACTCACCAGAAATCAAAGGAGTCTACATAATTAGAGACTCAAGACAGGAATCAACAAAAGATACACCTGACTCAAGTGAGTAATTTATATTAAAGTAAATATAGCTCTTTTCAGAGTCTTGCAGAGGCATAACAGCCCAAAACTTTGCACAATCCAGTGCCCGACTTTTAGCTTACGAGGGGAAGAATGCCTCATAGATATTGTACTCTTAAAACAATCCTACAGAACAAATGCAGAAGTAATATAATTAAAAGTTTATTCAGCCTCCTGTATTCATAGAATTTTGACAAACCTTGCAACATGCTATAATGACATATAAACAGGATTAATTCTCTAAAGTAATTAAACCTGCTCCACTACTGTTCCCACGAAATAAGCTTACATCATTCTGTTTGTGCTATATTATTTATTTTCTTCCAGGTTTTCCACATAAAGTGATATAGACCCAAATAGTTAATTTCACATCCCAACATCTTTTGCATTGCCCCTCTTCTGACAGCAGCAGTTCATGATGGAGTACATTTGCACACGCGGTGCCAGGCCTTTAATGTTACACACAAGCGATTACTTCTCATTTGAGCCTAGACAATGAGCATTAGCAAGATGTTCATCTACAGGCAGACATTGAAGCTAAATTCACTACATCTCCAACAAGTCCTTTGCTAGACCTAGTGGACAGATGATGATAATAATAGTGTCCTCATTGTTAATTCCATTCCCTACCAGACACCTTAGAGACCCTGAAGATCCTCCTTAAATGTAGGTGCAACCAATCCCCACAATAATTGTCAACCTGGTTGAACATGTTCTCAACCTTTTTTTTTTTGATTATACTAGTTTCTTCCAAATAAAAGACAATGCCCAAGTGGCTCCTTTAGCTTATGTTGTCCTTTTTGTGGCATACATGGAAAATTCTTTGTTTCAGTTCTGATCACATCTCTTCTCTGGACACATTATTCTGGTATGCTAATGACTTTCAGTGCCATTCCTTGGCATCACTCATTCTGGAAAATTTCATCATCTTTCTTTCAAGTTCCACCTTTGCATCAACTCCAGTTGCTCCCAGGGTCCTCCTTTCCCCAACTTCTATATTCCATTTCTTCGGATCAACCAAGAGTGTACCACTTTCACAGCTGCTTTGACCATACTTTCACCCCAAGACAAACTTTTTTTTTGATGATTATATAGGTATCAGTGGCACAAAGATCAACATAATTTAATACTTATGCAATATCAATTGTGGCACCGCTCATACATTTAAATCTCCATAAAAGATTCATTTCTATGATTAATGGAAGTGGGTAAAATTAACTAACAACTCTAGTCCAGTACAACACTTCAATTTGGTAAACAACATTTATACTTGATCTACAATGGCTAAAAAGAAGAAATGCTAGAATTATTTTGAAAAAGAATGCTTTTCTTACCATAAACCCTTTTATTGTTCTATAGTACGGGTCCAACAGCAGAGAACCCAAGGAACAGACTTGGGCCGTACGATCCCAACCATCAGAGCAATGGACTAAGACACTGGCACCTTCACGTCCCACTGCCTGTTCAAAGTATGGAAATAAAGAGAAATCATGTCATCAAGCCATTCAAGCAAATTTATTTCTTCAGGATAATAAAGAGAAATCCAGAGTTCTTAAATAAATTGTGTTTAAAACTTCGTATCAGCTTTTGTGTCAGCAACTCAAGATCAGATACAGACTTATATTTTTCATTACATGAAGTCGACTCCACATTCTGTGGAAGCAGGTTTGCAGTTTGATTCAAGCACTCGTGCACAAATATTTATCCATTCAGAGCTGTGTTTTTAACTGCTGTTGAACAATTGCTTAATGCTAATACACCATGAACCACAAAGCCTAGAGATTAAAGAATATACTCTACTTTCAAGTTCTTATTTTCAACACTTGCTCCCACTTCAGTTCACACTTGGTTCATCATCACTATTGGACACTATATTGATTAACTGCTTTTAATAGAAGAGTTATGGACAAAGAATCATTTTATTTCAGATATCCAAAGTATTTCATGCAAAGTGGCAAGAAAACAATCTATTTCTGCATCTGTATGGACAGTTGTCATCTATTTATATTGGAAGTTAGGAATGTGAATTGCTCACAACTATATTACTCATAAGCAATCACCTGTCGAGGAAAAAATCTTTTCCTCATGAGATGGTTACTGATGGACAGTCAGGATCATGTGCACAAAAATAACACACTGAAGATGCTAGAAATTTGAAACAGAGAACAAATATTCAAGCTGTCAAAAATTATTTTTGAAGAAAACACACAAATTAACAATTGAGGGGAGGGATTCACATCTTTTCCCAAATGATGTCTGCTCTGAACATGTCCAGTGTTTTCTCAAATGTGCTGCATCAGGCATAATGTTTGTTTCAATAGCAAATTGTCATTTATCAGACTTCAATGGTGAACAGCTAATATTATGGTTTAGAAGTGATCACTTTTTCAAATACCTGACTTGATTCTTTTTACTGTATTGTAGAAGTACCCTATAATGGATTATATTTAATCATAAATAACACATTTACTTTTAAACTACGCTGGAACAGACTGGTGTCAGTGGCTACTTATGTCTTGTGCGACCACCATTCTCTGATTTGAATAAAAAAGAACTTACAAAAATGTTTCATCAAGACTAGTGGCCCATGTTAGTTGTTACTATAAAAAATAATTTTTGGATTTTATAATTCCCCTCTAAGCCAGAAGATGAATCACTAAAAGCTAATTAGTTTTAAGTCTGAACTATACAATGTTTTGTCTTTTTAGTCCATAAAAAAAAAGGAACAGGAGCAGGCCATTCAGCCCCTTGAGCCTGCTCTGGAATTCCATAGGATCATAGCTGATCTGAGATTCCTTGTGTACACCTTCCTGCCTTTTCCCTGTAACTCTTGATTTCCCCTAGTGATCAAGAATCTATCTCAGCCCTAAATATACACTAGGTCTCTGCCCCAACAGCTCTCTGTGGTACTGAATTCCAAAGACTCAGTCCTCCAAGAGAAGAAATCCCTCCTCATGTTGGTCTTAAACTGGTCCCCCACTTCATTCTGAAAGAATGCCCTCTGGTTGTTCGGAACTCCCCATGAGGAGAAACATCCTCTGAATATTTATCCTGTCAAACCCCTTACGATCCTATACATTTCAATGGGATCATCTCTCATTCTTCTAAAGTCCGAAGAGTCCCAACTTGTTTAGCCTTTGCTCTTAAGACAATCCCTCCACACCAGGGATCATCCTAGTGAACCTTCTCTGAACTGCCTCCAATGAAATGATATATTTCTTTTAGTAAAGGGACCAAAACTGGTCTCAGTACTCCAGATGTGGTCTCATCAGTACTTTGTACAGTTGCAGTAAAACTTCCCTACTCTTATACTTGAACGCCCTTGAAATAAGGTCCAATATTCCATTAGGCTTCCTGACTATCTGCTGCACCTGTGCCTAACTCAGTGTTTTATGTACAAGTACTCCCAAGTTGTGTTGCAGCTTTCTGCAGTCTTTTTTTTTCCATTTAAGGATTATATTCCTTTGTTCTCCCTTCCAAAATGAACAACTTCACATTTTCCCACATTATACTCCATTTGCCAACATTTTGCCTCTTTACTTATCAATATCTCTCCAAATTGGTTGTATCATCATCACAACCTGCTTTTCCACATATTTTTGTGTCGTCCGCGAATTTGGCTGCAGTACATTCACTTCTTTCCTCCCAGTCATTAACATATATTCCAAAAAGAGTTGTATTCTCCGCACTGATCTCTGTGAAACCCCACTAATCACAGGATGCTGAAATGAATTAAAAAATCCTTATCACCACTCATTGTTTCCTGCCCATTAGCCAATTTGCTATAAATTACAATATACTATCTCCGACATTGTGGGCTCTTATATCTTATTACTTCAGTTTTTGTGAGGCGCCTTGGCAAATGCCTGCTGGAAGTCCAAACACAACACAACTTCTGGTTTCCCCTCGATCCACTCTGAGGATTCTTCAAAAGACTTTAATTTAGTCAGACAAGATTTCCCTTTCATGAAACCATGCTGTCTCTGGTTGGTTAGATTAAGATTTTCCAAATGTTCTGCTAAAATTTCCTTATCGATTGTTGGCAAAGTATTGAAATCAACAGATGTTCGGCTAATTGGGCCATAGGCACTTACTTTTTGCCTAACCTCTTTTTGAATAGGGGGTGTCACATTAGCAGTTTTCCAATCTTCTGGTATTTCTCCAGAATCTAACAATTTTTGGAAAATTATATGCATCCATTAACTCCGTCACTATGTCTGAGAATCCTAGAATGCAAGCCATCAGGGTCAGGAGATCTATCTGCTTTTAGCCCTACTAGTTTGTCTATTACTACTTCTTTAAATAATGGTGACGGTAATTAACTACTTAACCCTCAGCTGCAGAAGTAACATGTTTTAGTGTACAAGCTTGGAGTAAAAATTTTTTCCTATGCACAAAAGTTTTGATTCACATCAACTGGGCCAAAGCAAGTAGACTTTTACAGTATGAATAAGGTACCATTTTAGAGTTTGATTCATCAGACTTTGTTCCAAGTCTACCACATGGAGAAACAAAAAAACATTCTATTACCTCCTGCATCTGATCATTCTATTGTATTTAATCCTTCAGACAACAGTATGGTAGCATGTCCTTACATAATTTACAATATAAAACATGCCCTCATCATTAAGCTTTCGCAGCACCTTTTTTTTTGTAGAAATAATTAGAAATGGCATCTTATTCTGTCCTTAAAAACCTATTTTCAGCATGTTCTAAATAAAAAACAGTATGAAATGGATTCTTCGCACCTCCGTCACGATTGAAATTACATTTTAAAAGTGCTTTATGCTCACTAAAGGACAACCAATTAGATGAAACAGGACCTCATAGAAGGTTTATGGGTGGACGTCCAGTCTACGCTGAGTCGGTTGATTTCATCCAAAGAAGAAAAAAAATTTATGCAGTGGCCTTAAAGTTGGGATTGTGCAGGACGTGTTTTGTTGCTCCTGGTTTGTATTTGGCAAATATAAATGCATTTGTAGGGGCTAATACCCTTACTTCTTGGCCAGAAGTCCTGGTTTAAAGTCCCACTTTCTCCAGAGGGAACACATCTCAATTAAAAGCATCCATACATTTTTGTTTATGTTGTACACAGTCAACTTGGCTACGAGGCTCCTTGTGTCCGGTGCATTTACGGCCAGCTCAAACATGAAAGAAGGGCCACAGTTAAGGTACTGAATGTAATTAGTGCTATAACAGCAGTTTTTTTGTGGTGGGGGCAGTGGGGGAAGCACAGAGAAACAGAGACTGAGATGCAGGAGAGAGAGAGTCTGGATTTAAGGAAGGGAAAGAAAATTACAAGCAAAGGTCAAAAAGCTTTGAGTCTAGTGAAGGCTATCTCAGCTTTGTAATATACACCAAACATTGGCACTGTAACATCTTACTTATTCAGAAAGCTATATCTTTCCTCTATTAACTAAATTATTTGCTGAATAACATTTTATATGCAGGAAGGAAATTAATTTTACAACATATATGGTGAAGTAACATGTACTTTAGCAAGAGATGTAGCAGCATCCAACACAGCTTTAATGTGGCGAAGCCATCCAGAACTCTCCAAACCAATTAAGAAGTCATTCAGAGACAACTCTTTGGTTCCACACACTAAAAACAAGGAAATAAATAATTAACCAGTCAAATAATTATTTTAGCTTGCACATTTGGTAAAAATAACATATTTCTTACTTCCAGACTGCACAAGTAAATAAGTTTCTCATCTGTTACACAGAACGAGACAGAGGAATCTTTCTCAACATCTGTTTCATATTTAGCTATTGAATTCACGTGACTCACTCATTCCACCCAAAATAAAGTTAACAAATAAGGTTAACACTTTGAAATATTAACTCTGAAAAGATCATTTAATTTCTATATCAAATTGAAGGACTCCATTACGGTAATTTCCTAGCTCTAACACTGCAGAGGAAGTAACATATGACTCTTTCATAACCAAATGCTGAAGACTTGAAACAAAAATTTAAAAAAGTGCTCGATTCACTCAACAGGTTAGGTAGCATCTAATTCAATTGGCTAAAGATGTGCTTCCATGATGGTGGCACCTCAGAAGCTACTCAGATTGAGGGCAATTCGCATTGGTCAACAAATGCTGGCTTTACCCAGTACACCAACTTCTGATGAAAGAATTAAACTGAATCATCCATTTGACACTTCAAGCAGAAAACGGCTGAAAGAGATTCACCCTTATCTTTCGCACCAGTGTGCTCAGTTTCACCATTATTGACGATGGGCATATCTGCCAAGTGTCCTTACCCTATTAGGTGTTTAATTTTCTACACGTTCATAACTTAAGTGCAGGACTGCAGAAATTGGATTCACTGGCTGTAGACTTGGTTCACTGTTTGTAGAATGCTGTTCTGCATCTAGTCATCCATTACATCCTGAACTATATTTTCACAAGGGGAATTTTTTTTGAGTATGCCTCATGCTATTCCTGGCATGATCTCCTACACTCCTCATTTGGTACAGGTTTGGTAGCTAGCCTGTGTTAATGGTCAAATGAAGGGTATGTCACAGAACGAGGTTTCATATTGTACTGGCCATCAGTACCTCATGATGACCAACTCCGAGCTGCTAGGTTTCCTCTGAATTTGTCCCATTTAGCACAGTAGTAACGAATGCTGGAATCTCAAGTCCAGAGTAAGCTCTGTGCTCATTACTCTCTGTACCTCTTCCAAGTAGCATTCAGCATGAGGAATACTAACTTATCAGTTGAAACGTGGTGGTCGGTAGTCATCAGAGAAATTTCCTTAATCATGTTTAACTCAATTGCATAAAATTTCACAAGGTCAACTGTTGAGAATGTGCAGGATTGCTCCCTCCTGATTGTATACTATTGCACTATCATCTCCGCTGAGTCTGTCCTAGTAAAACAGTGTATAGCCAGGTATGGTGATAGAAGAGGTTGAGATAGTCATAATCACAGCCTTTCAGCTGAATCATTGCCTTTCAGCCAAAGTCAAGTTCTAGTCC